AAAAGTTGCAAGATCAGCTCAGGAAATGTGGAATTCAGCATCTTGGCGTATTTATATATCAGGACAGCCTAGTCAAAGTACAGACCCAAAGGCTATAAATTTGATCCAATCCAATCTAAGGTTGAGTTATGCTTCAGTGGCAGGAGGATTTGGTGTAACTGCAGAGTGATCTGGCTCAATAAAGCACGCAGAATACTTCTGCTGCTTCACTTTTAAGGTTTTATTTGTAAGTTTGTTGAAGATGATGCTTTAATTTATTTTGAATTTGCAGCTCAGCTTGGTCCAGTTTTGGGTTGGAGATAAGCCCATCACAATAAGTAATAAATCGATTAATAGCATGATCATTTACCTTTGGATTATTCTTTTCCTTGTGTTTCTCTCTTCCTACCAAAAACTGGATGATAAAAGTCTTTAGCCTGGAACTTTGGTCTCAGCTACCTCTTATTGTTTGAAGGTCAATTTTTCTTACAGAAACTTCAAAACTCATTTTATTATTATTTATTTATTCTGTTTAGTTTTTTGAGTATTTGAAATGTCTTCCAATTGTGTTAAATGTTCATTAGATAATAAAGTTTATTGTTCTTCTAGAGGTTATACTTATATTTTTATGCCAATACAATTATTTGTTTAAAATGGTCTAAAAATAACATTATAGTTTATTGCAATAATTCCTTGGACAATTGAATGTCCATCAAAGCTTATTATGGTGAAAGGCCTAGTGATAAACTAACAGTACAGGACAACCTCTATGGGTCTGAATACTTATCTGAGGCATTGTGTGGCTACAATTAATAATTACAAAGTAACTGATTATTCCGAAAACTAATGAAAGATCAAAATAAATAACAGATTGTTAAAAATTGGTACATTCTGCAGATTTTTAATTTCACTAAAATTTTTCTACACACATTAAAAGACACTATAAATATCTCAAACAAATACAATGAATTATGACGTCTCTGTAGCAAAATTATCCTTTAAAAACTGTTTTAGTTGAGACCAAAACACAAGACTGAAAACATTTATCACCAAGTTTCTGGTAGAAAAAGGAAAAATGGTAAATTGTTCAAATGGAAAATACTGAGTTTGCTTTAACTCATCATGTCATTATTTGATCTACTGTTTATTGTGACAGGCTTGACCAGGATATGAATTTTATGCCATGTTGCACATCCTTAACGGGTACATGTGATTTAGTTTCACTATTGAAGTTTCAGCCGTGAGTTTAACAACTGCAGCAGTTCATGTTGGTGTTTGTTGATGTTTCAACAGACAGAATGTGGTTCATCAGCCAAAATTTAAACCAGGCTTATTAGCGCTAGATGAAACCGTCTTTCTACTTTCTGTAAATACGACTTCCCTCATCAACCCACAACCAAGCGGTCTTCCTGAAGCGTGACAGTAAAAACACTCGTTTTGTTGTGACCACACTAACATCAGGTGGAGTCACGCTGCGACAGACCGGCGGCCGTACGCGTGGCTGCGCGCCTGTGCACGCACGCAACTGAGACTCCCAGTCGTAAACAGCAGCTCACTGCTAATGTATGGCTCCTTTCAGATGCAACAAGCTGCAGAGCGGGCGGGCGGTCCCGGCCGGCCGCAGCTGTGACGTCTCACATGTGGAGTGTTGTTGATATAAGGAGGAACACCAGTGGAAAATTGGAGCTGGAGCTGGTGGGGCCAGACTTGTGACTTCCTGATAGGAAGACAGTGCAGGCTGACCCATATTTGTTTTGTTTCATGGAGATATTTATATCTGCAAAGATCTGCAAGACCACAAAAGGGTTCCTAAAGTGAAAACTTTGGAGCCAAAGCATCAACTGGCTTTATGAAGTTTGCAGAATTGTACTCCACTAAGTGTAGGACTACTTCAACACATTTCACTGAAGTAAAAAGTAACTGATCAAATTATCAATCAATTAATATTAAAAACTCACATCAACACAGATGAAAATTTATAAATGTGGAAATGTTGGTATTTTACACATCAAAATGACAATAATTCATGTAAGTAACAAAAAAATAGCAAAATCAGACAAAATAATTTTTTTTCCAAATCTGTTTCTTTCAATAAAAAACTTATGAAGCTTTAACAAACACAGTAGGTGTGTGAATTTTTGGTTAAAACATGTTTTTTTTTAATTCAGTGGGTAGATAATGCAGAACTTTTACTCAAGTGAGAGTAGCGACCCTTCACAATAAAATTACTCAAGTAGAAGTAGACAGTACAGTGTAGTAAAAAGTATTTTTTTCCCAAAAGTTGCTCCATTACATGTAACTAGTTATTACCCAACTCCAGCTTTAATCAACAGAAACTAATGTAACTGGGTTAACTTTCTCTAAGCTGCCTCACAAACTCCTCTAAGCCTTTGCAAGCTGCTACAAGCTGCACCAAACCAGAACTCGGGTCAAAAATATACAAAGGAGAGCGGCATGTGGGTTAAACTAGACGGTCTAGTTTTAAAACCAAGCGGAAGTGTGACAGCCCCTGGATGCTGGAAGTCATTAGGAGGGAATACAATGTTCAGTAGTCAGAAATAGGCGACAATGACCCGCTGGTCTGAGCCGTCCTCTAAAAATAAAGATGGAGTCATGAAAATAAGGAGGAAAGATAAAGTTTTCACTCCTTCATTTGACGATTGAGCTTCTTTTCGGCTACTCCAGAGCAGTTTGGGATATAAAAAGGCACCTTCAGCTGCAACGAGAAGGATGAAACCGCATTTCTAATTACGACGTTGTGTTGCGGTGAGGCATTCCCCTCTTTAAGCGTCTATTATGGGCCGCTGGAGCCCTGCCTGCCCGAGGTCACCGCAAAGCGCTCCTGACTAAACTGAATTTAAGAGCACCTAAATGCACAATGGGGGGAAAATTATAATCATTTCAGCAAAATCGGTGGTGTCACAAAAAAATGGGAGGAATGTTAACTGTAAGAGCTGTACGCTCTGCTTTTCCTTCCTCTTATTGCAACTGTCTCAAAGTTTCCCTCCAGTTTCTGCAGGAGACCCTGTCTAATGAACTAATGCAATTTGTATGGATCAATCAAAAGCTATATAGTAATAAAAATAGGATTTCAACTTAAAATGGTAAAAATTCATTGCAAATATAGTCATTTTGGCCCAGAAATCATACATTTGTCAGCAATAACACATGAATTCATACCCACTTTAACAACAAACTTTTTTTAAGAGCAACACAAATTAATATGAATAAATGTAGTTATATATCCACAATTGTTATTATATACCAACTTAGAGTTATTCTGGTTTGTTTAAAAGCCATAATCTCTGGTACTTCATAGGAATCAGAAACAAAACATTGGTGAAATGTGTGGATGTGAATTGATTTCAGGCAACAGATTAGATGGAGGATGTTCAGAAATCATATTTCTAATGACCAGGATGCTTAAAAAATAAAAATCTGAATCAAAAACTGGATTTAAACACCCTTCGTCAACCAGAGAATAAAGTTAGAGTAACATTATCTCCCTTATCTTGGTCTGATTGCAATTAAACTAAAAAGTGCAGAGGACAAGTTAATATTTAATGCACTTCCATTCCAAGAATGATGTGAGATTAAAATTTTTATACAATGAGAGGGAAAACAGTGGGGGGGAGGGGAACAACTATTTTCGGTTTTTGAAGGGAATTTTCAATGAAAAATTGGCCTGTTCTGATCTCTGGTGAACAGATCGGTGCATTTCTATTTTCTAAACAAATCTCAAAGAATCTCCATATTGGTTTCATCATTTCTGATGTTACATTGAGCCAGAGTATCCACCTTAAATGCTTTTTCCTGTAATCTGTTTGGATAGTTTTTACCCAAACATACTAATTATTACCACTTCCTAAAGTTTCTGAAGCAACCACGTGATCGGCTTCAGTTCAATATAAACTCTCCGACGTAAAGTGTGTCCTTTTGTAAAGTAGAAGCAGGATAATCAATTTAAATCCTCTTACTTCTCCTTCTCAACACCACTGACTTCCAGGATTTTCACTGTAAAACCTTCCTGCAAAACCAAGTCAATTATGTTTGCTGGGCTTCAACATTACATCTTATTTTCACACAAGTAGGTAAAAGTCTGCAACAATCACTACTTTCATATGAGGTTTGTAAACTAAACTTTCTGCAATCAGTGATATTATGAAGGGAATTCATATTTTGTTTACAGTCAGTTAAAAATCTTGAATGTTTCTCAAAATTGTCACCAAGTACCTTATTGGATATATTTAATGTATTATTTTGGCACACAATGGTTTATTTGAATCTTTTTGCACAGATGGATGTTAAATTTTAAACTATCAGAGATAATAAAAATGAAATCTCCAACATTAAATTTGCTGTTTGTTAAGTAAAACCTGAATAATATCGCTCAATTCTCTTAATTCTCCTTTCCAACAACTGCTTGCTGCTAAAATGTATTCTTAAAGATTTAGTTTTAATTACTTCTTGTGCTTTTTATGACAATTGTGTTGCAGTTTCTTTGTTTTGCTTTACTGATATAATTTATGTAGCTAAGTTATGTATAAATTTAATTTTTAGCTAATTCTGGCGAATTACAGTACATTTAATTAATATGCATTGTCCCTAACTAATAAGTTAAATAAAATGTCCAAGTAAATCAAGACAAATCACCCATACTGTAAATAAACTTTACAGTCTGTATTGTTTACTTAGAGATCAAACTCTACTTTAAAGTAGATTTCAGTGATGTAAATACAGAGCTGTAATAGTGAACCGTGACTCCATAGTTATTGTAAATTTCCAAACATGGAGGTTTGTTTTGATGCAGGAAGCCCAGCAGGTTCGGGTCGTGTCGGTTCTGAGCTGGAAGCGACAGAAACTTTTTAGCAGATGGATGGATCCTCTGCAGCGCCATAATTCAGTCACACTTTCCCTGCAGCTGCTGGTGCTAACAGGCTAACTGCTGCCGTTTTCACCGGGAACAACAAACTCCAGAGTCCGTAAAAGTTGCTCGAAAAACCACAGAAATGTCCACTCACCCGTCTCTGCCGGGGTTTTCATCTTTGTCGAAGTCTTCGGCGGCTCCCTCCGTCACCAATCCCGTCGACGGGGAACTTCAGACGGTAGCTTTTAGCTGAGTTAGCAGCGGCTCCGCTCGCCTTCCACCCCCCGGTGTTGTTCTAGCCAAAAAAAGAGCCGAGAAAAAAAAAACCCGAATGGAGTTTAAAACACACGGATTCACTGTGAAAGTTGCTGGTTTAAATCAGTAAAGTTGTCCCAGAGCCTCTGGAGCTGTGGGGGAGGAGGGGGCAAATCCAGTCCGGTCCGGCTGAATGGTGAAAGTTTGAAGGAGTCAGTCTGTGCTGCCGTTGGCCGCTTCTGGAGCAACGGAATGTGGCGAGTTTAAATTTTCACTCCTGTCGCTGCAGCAGCGGCGGTGTCGCATGTTGGAGTCCTCCGGTGTAGCGGCAGCATCTTCCTCCTGACAACTGCCGCGCTTCGGGGAGGAACAAAAGTACCGAAGCCAACTCACTTCTTTCTCTGCGCCCCCTCTTTTTCTCCTTTTTCCACTCAGTCACTTCGTGTTCTCTCTCCAGCACCCCCCCACTCCCCCTCCTTCTTACACGGCCGGGGTGTCGTGTTTCGCTCTCCTCCTGCCACACGGGGCCGCCCACGCTGACCCACACAGGGAGGGAGGGAGCGAGGAACCGAACGCCCACTCTTCAAAGATCGTCTATGATAAGCCAAGCATTATGATAATTAATGAAAAGATGGAAAATGTTTTGCTGCAATAACTAGTTACATTTACTTGAGAAACTTTTAGGGAAAAATTTACTTTTGAAAGTATTTTTACTACGTTGTATTTTTTACTTTTATTTCCGTAATTTCATTACTGTTATTGACAGTGGGGAGGTATCACTACTCCTGATCCTGGAGTAGTGATACCTCCCCACTGTCAGTAACTCCACTGAATAAAGAACAGGCTTGTTCCAACCAAATATTCACCAGACAGACTCACACCTGCAGTTTTTGATAAAATTTCATAAGTTTTGTACTAACAACAACAAAAAAGATTTGGAAACAATGTTTCTTTGGTCTGATTTTATTTTGTAGATATAGTATTCATATGAATTACTCTAATTTTGTTCTTTAAAATACCAATATTTCTGCATCGGTTTTTGTTTCTGACACTGTTGGTGTCATTTTTAAATATTCAATAATTTATCTTTTAATCAGTTGCTCAGTACTTGAGTAGGCTTTATACCAAATACATTTTTTACTCTTCAGTAACTTCTTAGATGGATACTTTTTATTTTTACTTGGGTAAAATGTTTTAAATGACAAAAACTAACTATCTACTTCACTTTGCTGATTAAATTACTGAATGTCTTGGTTATATGTTGACAGATTGTTTGTCTGATGATGAGGACATTTACCATGAGCTTCGATTGCTCAGGCAAATATCCTTGTCTATAAGTTTGGATTTTGTTCTGATGAAGTGAAACTGAACTTGTTTCAACCATATTGTACATCACTGTATGCTGCACATTTGTGGTGCAACTTTAAAAAAGGCAGTCTTCAAAGACTGAAGGTAGTTTAAAATGATGCATTGAGACGTTTGTTAAATAAACCCAGATGGACCAGTGCCAGTGAATTGTTTATATCGGCACTTTCATGGCTGTTTTAAGAAAGCTTATGTATGCATTTATTTGTCGTTTAAATGAGTCTAATAATGGAAGTATCCTACTGTTGACTAACGTTAAATATAGTTCAGTAAAATACTCATCTGGATTCTGGAGACATTGGTATGATTGCCTCCTGATTGGCTAGGAGCTGCTTTTATTGTACCCGTTATTTTTTAATTGCATTTCTTTCATTTTATGTAATTTGGACTTTGAGTCTGTGATCTATCTATCTATCTATCTATCTATCTATCTATCTATCTATCTATCTATCTATCTATCTATCTATCTATCTATCTATCTATCTATCTATCTATCTATCTATCTATCTATCTATCTATCTATCTATCTATCTATCTATCTATCTATCTATCTAAATAAATAAATAAATAAATATATTTCACCCGTGTTGCTTTTCTGTCATTCAAACAAGCAACAGATGATCCTTGAGATGATTATGAGTTATTGTGTCCCCCATCATACTAATAGACGATCTTTGAGGCAGACCCCGATCGCGGCTTGCCGCTTCGCTTTTTGTCGCTCGCTCTCGTTTCGCGCGTCCAGGCGCTGCCATGGATGCCGATTCCAGCCGCGGGTGACGAGAGGCGTCCGTGTTTATCCGTAAACCGCGACATCGAGGCGGCCGGTCGGCCATTTTTTTCAGGCCGCAGGGGGACGGAAGGGTCCAATCAACAGGTGTCCTGTCCTGAAGGAGGGACTGAAGGAGTGACTGGGCCGTTTACGTTGATTGTAATTACAAGAGGACAGCGCCTGCAGCTCATCAGGCTGCCATTAGCATTATGTTGCTCCCACACGCCCTTTCCTTCCCGGGCTAATGAAGGGCCCTTCAGCGCTCACTGCCGCTCCTGGAGGGAGAGGTGTTTGAAGAAAGGAGCAGTAATTACACAAAGGTGGGCCGAGGAGGCAGATGAAGTGGCAGCAGCACTAAAGCGTTGAATAGCTGCAGCTCATTAGTCACAACCATCACAAACTTTAGCCTTGTTCTGATTCACAAGCCTAATCAGACTCAGTTCTGGTTCTTATAAAACCCTATTGAGATCAGTGATGACGTAACTCCTTCAAACAATGAAATGGACTCATTTCCGGCCTACTTTTCTACCCATTTCTACTCTTTAATTTTCTACTCTTTAATTTTCCATCTTTTCCTGCTTGTACTCTCTTGAAAACAACCCACCTGCATGACTACTGACCTCCCCAGTAACAGCTAATATATTGATTATTGATCGACATTTATAGAAAAAATACAACGTCCCTTGGTAAAGATGATTAGTTTACTATCAGTTTACATTTAGGCCTGTTGCAATGAATCAATTAATTGACCATTTTGTTTCCAAAGACTTCATAATTAATTTTATTTGTTGTTTCTGCTGCTTTGTTTGTTTACTTTGGATATTTCAAATGTCTTCCAGTTTCAGTGTTAAATATTTATTACAATTTGAAGGTTTTTGATCTTTGAGAATGTGTTCTTGCATTGTTATGCCATTACGATTCTATTGCTGCTCCGTCACGTCGAGAGGAGCCAGCGGCTCGGGCGTCTGGACAGGATGAGGCGTTCCAGGCACATCCCACCTGGATGAGGCCCTGGGAAAACCCACGGCACGCAAAAGAGCTTCCCTCCCAGCGGCCATCACTATCCACAATAACTCTTTGAATCTGAATTCATTTGAGTCACAACAATATTTAGTTTCCCTTTTGGATCAAAAAGTGTTTTTTAGTTTGAATTTAAAAAATGAATAAACAAACATTCGATCACATTTGGAGGTGATACGGACGTTTTAGGCGAAGCGATGTTTAGTTTTTCACACACAGACAGGCTGCATGTTAGAATGTGACTGCTGATGTCCCAGATGTGGTTTTCAGCTCAGGATGAACTTTTGCTCCACCTGAGGACGCGTGAAGAGGAGCGTGAACGTCTCTGTTGTGTCTGTTTTCTTTCACCACGACAACCTCAACTGAGAGCCGCCTGTGAAACCCAACAAAAGGCGCTTCCATCAAACCATCAAAGGTGAAACCAACTGTTTCTCTTTTCCATGTTTTTCTCTTTTTTTAGTCTGGAGGTGGTGTTTTAAATATACATTTGCGTGCAAGAATCCACCGAGCTCAATGGAAATACCATAAATTATAATTAATGCAAATGAAACAAAATTCTGAAATGCGAAACCGAGTGGCTGTGTGGGTGGGGAGATGCCACAGAGCATCAGGAAATGGCTTGAATCAGAAAGCTAACCTCACACCACGCCTTCATTAAATCAGCTGTGCTTATTCCACAATAAAAGCACATCTTAAAAGCTCACAATGTCTGTGTGCATCCTGAAAGAGATTAAAAACAAAACATACAGAAGGCTGTTTAAATGACTTTTTATTATTCTTATATTGTCTTTATTGTAAATTTTTTAGCACATTGAGATTCACATGTAAAAGTTCTATGAATAATAATCATTATAATTTGGAAGTTATGTGACACACAAAGTCAAATCTAATGTTAAATGTGAGTGAATTTTGATTTAAAACATGTTTAAAATTTGCCAATTGAGATTAGTTTGGGCCGCACATTATAAAGTTTCTTTATAGCACAAAAATATAGTTTTTCTCTGTCGCATTTTGCAAAACAGGAAAACAGCCTGGATTCACTTGCAAAACTCAGTTTCTTTCTCTAAGTTCATTTCTAAAATTAAATGTCTGTATCATTAAACATGTCGGTGCCTCAGAATGTATTTTGATTTTATGTTTTGAGAAACATCACAAAAACAATTAAAAATCTATGAAAACGCAGCGAATTGGACATAATCGCTTGCATGATGTACAAAAGCGTTTGCATTTTCCTCAGAGCAAAATGCTTTTTTGATGTGCATAAGTGACAAAATTATTTAATTATAATTACAATTTTTACTCTAACTTTAATAATAAGGAAGTAGTTTGGAGAATTTCAATTCTGTTCTGAGAAATGCACAAACTGTGATAAAGTACATAAAGTTTTATGTTGTAAGATGGGAAAATGTGAAAAAGTTAAATGCATTCAATGTTTTTCAAAAGCTTTGTGGTTTCTGTAAAATATAATCCTAATTGTGATTATTAACTCTGATATTTGACCTTCTTTTGAGGAGTTTTAACTGAAAAATTGATATTTTCCATCTGAAAAGTCTGCAGAAGTAAAAATGAAAAAGAATGTGGAAAATGTCTAAATTAAATGTTTTGATTTTTTGAAAAAGCTTCTGTGTTGAAAGCTCAGACTTTTTAGCTTGTTTCAGAAGTTTCCAATGATTTGTTGTAGATTCTTCTAAATCCATTACAAAAAACACAGATGCAGAGAAAAGGCAGTTTTACTTTCTGCAGTCGGGGGATGAAGCTGCATGAGAAAACAGCAGCAGCAACAAAAGCCCAGCAGGGGATCTGATGGTTACACTGGTGAGAACTGCTGGGGTAATCGGTCCTAATTGATCACCAGAGTCACTCTGGGTTCATTACTGAGGTGGTAATGAGAGGAATCAGTAAACAGGGCAATCAATCAGCATTGATTGGTAAACAATAAATACAGGATTTAACAAATGTTTTATTTAAGATGAGTTTAGTTAGTTTCAACTAAATGTAGCCAACATTTAGTATTACACTTTACTTTTTACGCTTACTTGAGTACAAATTTTACACCCACATCTAATTGTTAACTTTTATTGATCTTTGTTATGGAACAAAGTAAAAAGCTAAAAGCTTCTCATGTTTTTCCAATTATGAATCTGAAAAGTGCTGACTAAGCTTTTTTTGGGTGGAAAAATGAAATGAAACCCCAGAGGAAATGTTTCGCACTGATCCGGGATTATTCCTCCGTTTATGTTCATTAAAGTGAGCGATTTCTGTGTTTAAAATGGAAAACCGGCCTGAGGGGGTCAAACGGCAGCCGAGCCACACCCAGACAGCCACATGCACTCGACAGCGTGGCTT